AGCTAATCGACAGTGTGCAACAGACGTGTCAGATATTTTAGGGTCTGTTCTGTTGAGTTTTCTACAAGTTGGCATTGCAATGGGCGCCGGCGGGGCGTGCATACCACATGTACACACACAGTGCAATTCAGGAGCCATGACAGTCAATCACATCAATCCTGAAGGCATTCAATCCCGACTAGTAGCTCGCAACAAAGAGAGAAAATATGACGACGGTGCTAAATGGTCGTATATGCTGGCAGTGCTGCTCAAAACACGGATTGCGGCCTCATGCAACGTCTGCAGGACGTCAGCTATACTTGGCGCTGATGAGGACAGCTCGAGGAACCACACTCGCGGGCAGAGTCGGCGCAGGAATGGGCGTTTGAACGCAAGAGCCATGATTGGGTGGTATGATTGACTTCTCGCTTCGATCGTCTCGCGCTTGAACGGCGGTTTCACCGTTCTGCACGCGCGCTCGACGGGTAATGAGCTCCGCTACGCACAACAACTCGCGTCGCAAGCAAGAGAAGCGCACTGTGAGCAGTGATACAGCTACCAAAACAGCTAAAGCCTGAGCATCCAATGAGGCGTTGAGCTAAAACGATTAGCTTTGGAGGAGCCAGGAATACACGACGCCAATAGCCACGCATCAGCACGAAAATATACACGGCAAGATTAAAAAATGCACAACTCACGGCAGTTTTCGCTCTACTCACGCGCAGACAAAGAATCCCGGGGGGGGGGGCACAGTATCAGCATACACACGGCTTTAGTAGAAAGTCAGGTCTTTTCTGTTTTCGTGTACAGCATCAAACGCTCCCACAACTACCAAAACGACATGTGCAGGACCAAGCGGACAGCCTTTTTAGCCTAGTGTGCAGCGCGCAGCGCGCGCCGTCCTTGCAGAGCGGAAAGAGACAGACACACGTGCGACAGCAATGCGACACAGGTCAGATCGGTCACCGCTGTGAATTCCCGCCCCAGCAAATGTTTGCGACCTCGACCTGTTTCCGACCGCGCCGATCAATGGGCGTGCACGCAATTATAACGAGCGAAGAAAGTAGAGAATAAGAACTACTCAGAGAGACGGGACAGAGAAAGAATGTCGGTTGCTAGAACCAGAGCTGTCCCCGACTAAACTGGAGACGGTGCAGCAAATGTCGCCGTCTCACTATCCCGACAAGCGCTCGTACGTGGCTGCCTACAAGAGAATGGTGAGTTTCGTCGACGCGAGGAGGCTGTGGGGGGGTGTATGGCGGAGGCAGAGTACTAGAGTTAGCGTATATATAGCGAATGCGGGTTTTTGTCACGCGGCTGTTGCACCAAGAGATTTCGAGGCTAGCTATAAGTAAGTAGCTGTGCAGAAAAAGGGGGCGGGGCTGGAAGCAACACACTCGCGTTTTATTGCAGGTTCAAATGGTACTCGAGACACCAGACGACAGAGCTAAACTGCAGAAATACCTAAAAGAATTCCACGAGTAAGCAAACTCATTCTCTCTGCTGGATGATGGTTGGTATATGTTTGGTTGGTTGGCATCCTTCATCAGCACATACATTGTGGAGGATCTTATTGAGAACCTAAAGAACTTGCTGAATGCTCCAAAGCGCCGACAGCTCTACTACGCCATTAGGTCAGTCATACATCTAAATACTGTCCTTTTTGTACCGCCCAATAGCAATACATTGCTGAATGCTGACACTTTCCAACTGAACAGTTATCAATACGCAGTGAGCCACAGTAAAGAAGCCTGTTATGGTTTCTCAGATCGCATTTGAGAACAGCTGTGAATTGAAATTTAAGTGACTCATGCTGGAAGATTGGGCCACATGCTTATTGCAATGCTATAAAAAATATATAGGGGGGAAAGATAAAGCTCTGTAATATATACAATATTTCCTCAAATTTTATCGTTTGTGTTTGTCTTTTATACATGCAGGCCACTCGTTCCAAGTCGACTGAGGCAAGAATACAACTCCCTCCTACCTCATGTCCCCACGTAAGAAGTCTTTTTTACGAGAGTATTTCATTTTAGTATGTAGCATCATCAGTGTATGTGGTGGTGGTCATGAATCAAATTCAATGATGTTATTCATTGTTGTAACATTGAATGCATAATGTGAATATGGGACAACATAATAATGTCAGAAGCATCGTTACAGAAATGAGAGGAAAGTGGTGAATATCAAACAGACAGGAGGAGCTGGTTTTGGCTTCACTATCCGTGGAGGTATGCACATAATGCATGACCATGGGTTGTACAATCATACGTAATACGTGAATGAGGGCACCTCTATAAGGACACTTTTCTCTCCCCAAAGAGTTATTAATATATACCCCTGAACTAGAAACACGTCACTAATATCAACACCTGTCCCATGCACTAGTGTCTATATTAGAGGGGTTCCACAATACTAGTTTCCTTGATTGAGTATTGGGTACACAACAGTAACATATAGAGTTTGGCTTACGTATGTATATGCACTATATATACACACAACCATGAATCAGATTATACGTAGTAAGGGGACTACTCAGTGAATTAGGTCATTTCCTTTGCAGGAAGAGAGTTTGGATGTGGCATCTTTGTCTCAAGTGTATTGCCTTCTTCCAAAGCTGCACAAAATGGACTGAAGGTATGTAATGCAGGTTTGGCTGGCTGGGCTGAATCACTCATACAGAGCAAGGCAGAGCACTCTGTGTTCTAGAGAGGGCTCTACCAACTGAGCTACTGAGGCAGCTCGGCTGGCTGGGCTGAATCACTCATACAAAGAAGCTCTGTTACTTACAAAACTCTCTTTCTCCCTTCTCTATCTTACCCAAAAGCCGGGAGATGAGATAGTTAGAGTGAACGGGCTAACGCTCTGCCAAGCAACCAACGAAGAGGTCGTGAACCTCATCAAACTAAAGAAGACGCTCCTCTTGACCTGCAAAAGTGAGTTACATACGTACCACTGCTACGTTCCAGTTTTATTATCTCGTGTCTTTTCCGTGTAGGTGTGGGGATGATTCCAGACCAGAGGTACGTATGACGTAGCAACGTATGTGGCTTTCAGTAGTCCACCTTGTTACCACGGACTGCTCCTATGCACGTGTTAGGTTACTAGTTTCTCGTGTGCTCAATCACACACAGAGTTGCTGGGCTCTGCATGTCAATTAAAGTGAAGGATATATATGATATGGCTATCTCAACAAATCCAACAGCGTAATATGCATACTTACCAAGATTAACTTTGTAACTTTGCAATTATCTTTGTTTCACATAATTTTATGCATGCAGCTTCGACATCAATCCTTCCAATAAGTATTATGCCGGATTTTTCAGTCTTCATGATAGAAATTGTACACAGATTCATACACATGCATCAATGTGGATGGATTCAAGTTGCAGGCCCGTTTCCAAACCACACCTAAGTCAGTTTGGAAATTGTTCATTTGTGATACACCAAATAAGCATGTTAGTATCCACGTGAACTAAGCTGAAACAGATTGGTGGTGTCCAAGCGACTACATACGCAAACACACCCAAAGGACATAAACAGCCATAGATTAGAAATGAAGAAAATAATTACTTATCACCCACGTACTGGAACTACATTATGACTCAAATAATCAAAGTATCACGTGTTAGGAAGAACCAACTTTTGTCGGGAGTCGAACTCTGCTTGAAATCCAGTGCACTGAGCTACAACTCCCAGATAAAGCTGGTCTTCCCAATTCCCTCTAAGTACTTCATACCTAAGATGTAATATTCTGCGATCTATTTGTAATGTCTACTTTGTTTCCAGTCCTACCACAGGTGAGATAACCTGGATGACTGTAGTGCGAGACAACAAGAAGCACCACACATCCAGCTCTCGACTGGTAAACTTGCATGAAATTTCAAGTACACTCAGTTCAGTAGAAAATCGTACTACTATTGGCTGCTTTGTTTACAGCATCAGATCTCAAAACCTTATGGCTTTTCTTATGATTTACTAAGTACATTGAAACCCTATTGGTGTGGCGGGCATGCCCTATAAATAATCAATGAGGTGAAAGATAAAAGCACTGAAGCTGGATTTCAAACTCGGGATCCTATGCACCACTGGTGCAGCCTTTAGCCTCAAGACCACACGGTACGCAAGTGTGATCTTACACCCAACAAACCCGTATTGCATTCTGTGCCAAGAGAGCTAGAAAAGGGCGCCCTTTTGCTCGTTTGAAAATATCTCCCTACATACTCTGCTATAGGTGTTCTCTATGAGGTAATATTGACATCATCATTAATGACCTATCTATTATTCTTTGCAGGCCACCCAGGGACCTATTGTGAAGTGTGCTCGCAGAGTTCAAGTCAACATGGACGGGAGCACTGTACTGGGTGCTAGGTACTTTAACATACGTAGTATCATATTATTATGTCATGGCAGTGAAGTCTCAAAAATATATACTTGGTGCTAGGTTTTGTAGGTGAAATGAAAATAGATCAGCTTTTCATAGCAAGGAAACATCAACGTTTCGGTCCGTAGACCTTCATCAGCTGAATTGAATCAGATTGAAAATGCAAAATATAATTACCAACTTAAATACTGGTATTAAAACAGTTAAAACTCTGAAATAGGACCCTCCGAAAAAAAAGGACATCTTAGAAAGGACACATGGTTTTGTGCCATAACACTTTGTCCCTGATGTTGTTTTTTTACTTTCATACGTACGTCAAACTACATTTTCAAGGTTGCACCTGTCACTCGGTAGATAGGTTCACACGTACGTAGATGTCGTTGGCTCAGTTCAGTTCAGCTAACGTACATACGTACGTGGCCGTTCCCGAAAGTGCTCAGTTTGAATAGTTTTTGTAACAGTGTTTAGATACACTACGGAAACCATACCACGCTCAAATATATACCTATGACATCACCGGGAAATAAGGCAAAATGTACAGCATGCTTTGTTGGTTTAACCTTGCATCATTATGAAATCATGCGTATATGGAATTTTGGGATAGAAAACTTGACGCGTACGTATCGCTACATACTATGGAGTAAAACTGCATATATAGAGTACAGTACTTGGAAAATCAAAGTGCCCAAAATGCCTTAAACGTCATAGTGAAACGATACATTCACCATAAGCAGTATTCAATCATTGTAATAGTAACTATTGATGGTTGAAGTTGCACCATACCAGCGTTACATTTTCCCTTGTCTATATCATTCCATCCACTATCCCTCCATACGTATGTATGCAGCTAAGAGAAGCATTACCTTTTCCCTTGTCCATATCATTCCATCCACTATCCCTCCATGCGTATGTATGCAGCTAAAGAGAAGCTACTCATTATGTACCTATAGCCCGACATATCTCTGTGTTGATATGTAGCATAAAGACCAGCGCAGACAGCCACAGCGGAGTTCATATTGTGGACATAACACCCAACTCTGTCGCCCACAATGCCGGACTTAAGGTACATTATATACTTGCTCATCAAAATAATATAGTAATGTAGGCCTAATATTACTGCCTATAACACCTTGAATAGAATAATGCGGCTATTCTTTCTAGTCACTTCTGAGAATTGTTAGCACTGCACTCTCAAGCTACATTCAGGATGGTTGGTTGGCCTGTCCTTCCCCCAACTTGCTTGCTAAAAGTACGAACAATTTAGGCCACCCTATTCTTTCACTGCACACTCCAATTTTAGTCAAGGTATTCAGGATGGTTGGTTGGCCTGTCCTTCCCCAACTTGCTTGTTAAAGGTACGAACAATTTAGGCCACCCTATTCTTTCACTGCACACTCCAATTTTAGTCAAGGTATTCAGGATAGTTAGTTAGTCTGTCCTTGCCCCCACTTGCTTGCTAAAAGTACGAACATTTAGGCCACTATTCTTTCACTGCACACTGCAGCTATAGTCAAGGCATTCAGGATAGTTGGTTGGCCTGTCCTTCCCTCCACTTGCTTGCTAAAAGTACGAACATTTAGGTCACTATTCTTTCACTGCACACTCCAGCTATAGTCGAGGTATTCAAGATGGTTAGTTAGCCTGTCCTTCCCTCCACTTGCTTGCTAAAAGTACGAACAATTTAGGCCACCCTATTCTTTCACTGCACACTCCAGCTATAGTCGAGGTATTCAGGATGGTTGGTTGGCCTGTCCTTCCCTCCACATGCTTGCTAAAAGTACGAACAATTTAGGCCACCCTATTCTTTCACTGCACACTCCAGCTATAGTCGAGGTATTCAGGATGGTTGGTTGGCCTGTCCTTCCCTCCACATGCTTGTTAAAAGTACGAACAATTTAGGCCACCCTATTCTTTCACTGCACACTCCAGCTATAGTCGAGGTATTCAAGATGGTTAGTTAGCCTGTCCTTCCCTCCACTTGCTTGCTAAAAGTACGAACAATTTAGGCCACCCTATTCTTTCACTGCACACTCCAGATATAGTCAAGGTATTCAGGATGGTTGGTTGGCCTGTCCTTCCCTCCACTTGCTTGCTAAAAGTACGAACAATTTAGGCCACCCTATTCTTTCACTGCACACTCCAATGCTTAGTCAAGTATTCAGATGGTTGGTTGGCCTGTCCTTCCCCCAACTTGCTTGTTAAAAGTACGAACAACAATTTAGGCCACCCTATTCTTTCACTGCACACTCCAGCTATAGTCGAGGTATTCAGGATGGTTGGTTGGCCTGTCCTTCCCTCCACATGCTTGCTAAAAGTACGAACAATTTAGGCCACCCTATTCTTTCACTGCACACTCCAGCTATAGTCAAAGGTATTCAGGATAGTTGGTTGGCCTGTCCTTGCCTCCACTTGCTTGCTAAAAGTACGAACAATTTAGGCCACCCTATTCTTTCACTGCACACTCCAATTTTAGTCAAGGTATTCAGGATGGTTGGTTGGCCTATCCTTCCCCCAACTTGCTTGTTAAAAGTACGAACAACAATTTAGGCCACCCTATTCTTTCACTGCACACTCCAGCTATAGTCGAGGTATTCAGGATGGTTGGTTGGCCTGTCCTTCCCTCCACTTGCTTGCTAAAAGTACAACAATTTAGGCCACCCCTATTCTTCACTGCACACTCCAGCTATAGTCAAAGGTATTCAGGATAGTTGGTTGGCCTGTCCTTGCCTCCACTTGCTTGCTAAAAGTACGAACAATTTAGGCCACCCTATTCTTTCACTGCACACTCCAGCTATAGTTAAGGTATTCAGGATGGTTGGTAGGCCTGTCCTTCCCTCCACTTGCTGGCTAAAAGTACGAACAATTTAGGCCACCCTATTCTTTCCCTGCATACTCCAGCTATAGTCAAGGCATTCAGGATGGTTGGGTGGCCTGTCCTCTCCACTTGCTTGCCAAAATTTTAAACCACCATCAACACCGCAATATTTTTTTCAGGTTGGAGATGAGATACTTGAAGTGAATGGACAGAGTTTGCAGAACATCTCTCATCAGGATGCCATCAAGATGCTCAAGTCCAGCGACACTCTAATGCTCACCGTCAGAGTTGAAGAGGTACATACATACATACGTACATACGTACACAGTGTTTCTTATGACGAATTTTCTATATATATATTTATATATGTATGTGATGGCTCTGTCGGGCACTGCACATATCGTAATGTTGTATGTGATTCTAAATAAGCGCAAAACACGTGCGAAATATTGAACTACTCGCGCTCGCTCGCCAACAATACGTTGCTAGACACTTGGCTCTACCCCATACTATTACCTTAGAATAAGGGGACACCTCTAATAAAGGACACTTTGATGTCTCCAATTTTGATGACCCCAATGTGCCCCTTATTGAGAGGTTTCCTGTACACGGAGACCTATAGTGTTTGGTTATTTTTACTGTCCACAGCAATGCATAGTATAATATAGAACTGAAGACACTACGTGTGTTGTACTAGATGGAGGTAAAAATAATGGGTATATACCAAACCCATATTTACATCGTTCATGTACATACGTAAGTAAGAGGCTCTGCACCAGTAGTGGGAATCTTCTGAGGGAGAAATTTTTCAAGTCTCGTGATAGACACACGCAAGTATGCAGGCTCATCAGTTGAATTTGGTAGGAGGTCTACTGACCTACCTCACAGAGAATTCTTTGCCATCCAACATCCTACCGAGTCAGAACGTCCTCTTCTACTACTAAATCCCCCACACCATAATGGCGTTTTGTTTTAACAAATCTCTGTATGCTAAACTAAAAGCAATATCATGTATGAAACAATTAAGGGTTGTTGTATGCTATAAGCAGTATCATGTATGTAAATTTAAAAATTTAAGGTTGTTGTATGCTAAAACAAAAGCATATCATGTATGTAAAACATTTTAAGATGTATGTAAAACAAAAAGCAATAACATGCATGGTAAATAGTTTACTATTCCATACTTCCAATAAACTATATGTATTAGAGTTGTTAGTTTTCGTTTTTATCAACTCTCGTGTCTGTAATAATGCGAAATCATAAATGCCCTTGTAGTGGTGGGCATATAGTACATAAATATTATTATGGTAGAGTGAATGTTTACTATTCCATACCCCAACTAACTAAATCTATTGGTTTAGTTGTGATCCATTTCCGTATCTGTAATATATGCAAAATTATTAAGCCTTTGTGTGGGAGTTGCAAACAATTTTCAGCTGGCGTATGCTAAAACCTTTCAGCTGCATATTGCAGCTATATAGCGTATGCTTAAACATTTTCAGCTACGTGTTGCTAAATATTTTCAACTAGCGTATTGCTAAATATTTTCCTTCACACAGTCGTTCCACAGAGGTCAACTGCACCACCAGTTTTTGCAAATCCTCCGGCCGCTTTGAACTGAAGCCAAATGATTTTGCACGTAGACGCAGAGTTGCTGCTGAGTGGGGAGGAGACTCCCTCAACCAATCAGGACCTGGGTTTGTCCTCAGAGCAAGGGAAAACCCCCACGGTTAGTAGACGACAATTTACTCAGAGTTAGAAACCCCCACAATCAGTAGCGACAATTACTCAGAGTTAATAAAACCCCCACAATCAGTAGGCGACAATTACTCAGAGTAAGAAACCTCCACGGTTTTTTAAAGCAACGATGTTCATGGAGTTATGAAATATGCCGATGAGAATGCAACCAAAAACAATTCACACAATGCTTAAGACAAAATTTTCCTCATTGGGGCCAAAATTATAACAGCAGAGTTACATAAAATAGGGGAAAAAGGGGTATATAGGAAAAAGTAAAGTAAGGTGCAAGCTGAAGCAAAGTTGAAAGTGTGCATTACATAATATACCAATGTATCTTTTACCCACCAGCTGCAGAGAGAGCCAAGAGAGCAGAGAGGTAGCGAGGAACAAGAACACGGCTCGACTCTCTCTCCTGGACATGGAGATCCAACAGGACAAGGGTGGGGCCTCACATGGCGTCGTCCGTTGCCTGGGGTTACGGCCCAGCCATCGCCATGCCGACCCTGGGTGGGAATGATGGGCGGGACTGAGGCATCTGATATGGGACCTGATGGACAACAGGTATAATGTTATACCACACACACACTCTATACTTACACAACACATTTACACATGGGTCCCCTTGCCTTATTAACCTATTGTACCTGAATTATGCAACTATAATAATATTTTTTGTAAGTTTTATGTTTGACCCTAAATCTGCAACTGTTTACTTACTAATGTTAGTTAATGTACGTGGCTTGACCCCAAATAGTTAACAAATTTATCATGTAAGTGACTGCACCACACCTGTGTTCGAAATTATCAATTAAAACTCTCACCAAATTTCCCCTGTTTTACAGTAGAACACTACTAAGCATCTATACTTCATCACCATGCATACTTAAATAACTAATATAATCATTGTCATTATTACAGGAGTCCAACCTACTGGGCCAGCTATGATCCCGACAACAGGCGATCCACTGTGATGCCTCCTTCTCTCAGCAACGTTTTCCAGGCAAGCTTCTACGCTGATCCATTCAGTAAAGAGATATGGGGGCTGTGGGGGGAATAAGGACAGTGGAACCTCCGAGATAGGGACGATCTCTCTATGTACAGGGAAATAATCATTACCGTCCCTTGTTCGGAGGTTCCACTGTACTCTATTTTAGTCTGATATCACTTTTTCATTGGTTTACTATTATACCATCCGCATACATGTTTCCCATCATTGTCGTACTATATAATTATGGTACGAAATGTTAGAGAGAGAAACTTTCACAAATGTTCGTACCATGACTCTTTCACATAAGGTCACAAAAATTCCGCCCCTAACTGTCCCAGTAAACTGTAAACTCACCACTCCACAGGGACAGGCCTCTCACGGGCAGCAGCAGCTCCTCTCTCCCTCATCCCCTCCTCACATCCTCCCCAACCCCCACCTCCTCCGCCAGCTCCCAAACCATCGCGACCACGAGTCCTCCTCCTCGTCCTCCCTCACCCAGTCCTCCTATACACCGGAGAGGTACGTACATAATATCAATACACACTGTCTTTGAAGCAGTGAAACACTGGAATAAAGGACACCTTTAGGTACATCAAAAGTCAGAGGTAGCTATCCCTAATTTAGAACTATTCGTAGTATGAGGCAGAATCAAGTGCTCTTTATAGGGACATGTTTGTTCGGAGGATCCTTCCACTAAGAACAATTTTATCTGCTCTTCTGCTGAAAACTCGTAATGCTGGGACTGGCACATATTATATGTACATGTGGCAACAACGAGGTTTGGAGGTAGAAAGGCAAGGCAAAGCCAACAAGTCAACTACACCAACCAGGATACTTTCTTTAATGGAGGTTCCAATATGGATGAATATGCTATGGTTTTTTGTTTGTTCTTCCACTGAAATCCCTAGCTTAGTTGCAGACTGGCACATATGCATGTACTGTATGACTTTGGTGGTGTTTATGTCCCGCGTACAGAGCTGGCAGGCTACCAGTTCCCAGTGGAGGAAGACGATGAGCAGTCACCCAAACACCAGCCACCCAACCTCTCCAAACAACCAACTGCCTCTGCCCTCAAGAAAACGCAGCCACAACTCTCCGGTAAATCAGTTTAGAGCGAGCAGAATGTCAGTTGCCTTCATATTCAGCTAAGGAATTAACCAGAACTACTTTGCTCCTTAATAATGCTTGTGTTATTATCAAAATATGCAGCTAAAAGTCAAAAAGAAGACTCCAGCATTCAGAGAAAGGCAAGTAGCTATAATTATACACACAAACACATCAAACATTATTAAAACATTGTCATAATTCCGGGCTTATTCATAGTTTCCTTAAAACTTTGCTAACTGTAAGGAGCAGAGGTGATAGTGTTGCAATAACAAACCCAGGGTGGAGATAATCAATGTTGATGACGGGAACGGAAGGGGCAGCTCTGATAATCTGACTGATTTCGTTCATCCCAGCAACATGGAGGTACACATTATACTTACGTGTACACACACCTACTGAGACCAGAGATACCTTGGAGACATTGAAAGTGTCCTTTTTAATGAGGTGTCCCTTAATCGGAGGTAATGTACGTAATAGGAGAGAACTAAGTATCCTTCCATTCAGAAGATCCTTTTTCAGAAGTATTAATGCCAACATTGATTAGCTGTCCAAACCTAACAAGCTGCTATCCCATAGAAAGTTTTTGTAGTGCAATTTCTGTCAAAAATTTGGCAGTTGCTGTTAAAAATTTGGTCCTTCACTATAAAGCAAAATTCAAGCTCCAAGAGGTGAGGTTTCTTCAACACATGCACACATACTATGTATACAGTTCAGTGAGGAAGTTCTTCAAGGAAGAAGAGTTGCTTTTCACACCATCCCAAAGGTCAGTGTTCCATAAACTCCACTACCCTTTATAAAGTGAAACACTCCCTAGTAACAAACCACTTTATACATAATCATTTTGTCAATGAAAGACTGAAGACTTTATGAAGCAACAATAACCAGACACAACATTTTCACCTACACTCTAGAGCTGCACTGTAACCTGAAATTTAAATTCGCACCCCACTTCTGCTTCCCCTACACTTTACCCTCTCGCATGAGTTATGCATCGAAGAGCGCTCGCCTAGAGAGCAGAGTGTCGTGGGTTGGAATCACACCCAAGGCAGCTCTTTTTTTTTCCTTGGAAGAAAGAGCTGTCCTGGGTGTAGTGGACTTGTTTGTTTTGCCTTGCCTTTCTACCTCGCTACCAAGTTTTTGCCACACTATATCAGTTATGTATGTACCTGTGGCTGTAATTGCAGGAGGCTCCCCTGAAGATTGCCATTCGAGGTGGCACAGACACTCCACTGGGAGGACAGATACTCATCTCCAGGATTCTGGAAGGTGGAGCAGCAGAGCAATATGGTCAGTCACGGAATGCCAGTCATATAGCTTGAGGCACAGTATGTTGCTATTACCATGTGTAAAAGAGCTATGCTACGTATATGTTATGTTTTGTTTTGAAGTAAGCAGTCTTTACGAATAAGGATGGAAAGTTAGAGGCATCTGTGCAGGCAGTTGCTTATTTGCTCATCACATAGCCAGGGATAAAGTACACATACCGCAATTTTCATGAAACAAATCCGGTCAATCTCAATGTATGGATGTATGTGTGTATGTGCACAGGTCGACTGAATGTGGGAGACCAGCTACTGGTGTGTGATGGAGTCAGTCTTCTTGAGGTGACCCATGACGAGGCCGCACAGGCTCTCAAAGATGCCATGGATATGGAGTCGGTACGTATACAACTCTATTTACCTGATAGTTTGAGGACTAATGTAGAGTGATGTGATGGAATGCGGCAGTATATACATTCTTGTGCCAGGCCTAATGGCGAAAAACTGGGCAAAAGCATTGTTGGAATGTAGACGCAATGCATGTTTACAAGCTCCTATGGTCTCAATTAGTGCCAAGACTTGCAATGGTTACCAATGAATCGCATTGATTACCAATGAACGTTCTATATATGAAAAAGTAAGGGTCTTCATTTCCCACTTGTGTCATATGTGACACCTATCTATTAGAACTCTATAGATCTGGTGGTGGCAGTCAACCCTGACTTTGACACCGGAGAAGAGCTAGTCAGATCCCCACAGACCATGTGGCCACCGAAAAGGTGAGTCTGAAACACAAACCAGCATTCAGTTGGAATATCGTTATATATATGAAGAGTATTAGCTAAGGACCCAAACTCCAATAGACCACGATTATACATTCAAGACAATTTTCAATGGTGGGAGTGATGAGTATTACTGAGTGAGAGTGCAATGTTTGAGAAGAACGTACAGTTTTTAGCATGCAAAGCTGAGCTTACGATTATGGCTGTAACCATTCTGTAGGTGTCAAAATGCAGGTCCATCTTTCTTTTCGTTAGAGGGACTGGTTAGGGAACATCTGAGAATGAATAAGGGTTACAGTGTACATTTACAGGTTGTTTGTGTATCACATGGCACTATAATGTCATACAGGGAGGATACAGTACTGGAGGAGCCAGCCGCAGGAACCAGGCACGACTTTTCCCACTCTGCTCGTCGTGCCCACTCTGGTTAGCTGCCAGCCAGTACTCATTACTGCCCCCCTGCCTCCTTCTATCTTTCCAGGTTTCACACTGAGAGGAAAGGATAACCAGGTGTCTGCAAAGGCTCACGCTTTTCTACCAAGTTCCACTGGACAACAGTATATAGCTTAGGGGGAGAAAACATTATGTATACCAAACGGCTATGTTTACGTTCATGCGCGCGCGTGTCACGCCACGCAGGGGCTGGACGCGAATTCATGCCGCACCCACAAATCGCTGGCACGCCCAAAGTAGTCGGGAGCTCACCACGAAGTCAGTGTTTTCTCGGCAGCTATTCGGAGCAAGCAGCATCCAGAAGCCGTGAGTATATACCCCAACACTTACACACATAATAGTTCCTCAAGTTGGCTACGCTTAGATACCCCCCCGGTGTTAGTACCGCGTTTTCTGCAACCGGGAGAAAAGCGTGCTCACAGAGAAGGGCGTGGCCACAATGGCTACTCCGCGCAGCACTACGGCCGCGGCCGACCAGGAGTCTCGCGAATTAGGTGAAGACGATCTAAAAGTTATATCTGAAGCCCTTCATCCAATGGCCGAGAAGTATTTATTTTTCGGTATACAAATCAACGTGATGATGACTGAAATCGAGAAAATTCAGAAACAATATACCAATCCGAACGAATGTCTCCTCAAAATCTTATCCGTTCGTTTGAAGCAGGATCCAGGTCTCACATGGAAAGATATTGAAACAGCGCTCAAGTCAGATATTGTCGGTGAGGGTAAGTTAGCTGACAGAATAATGAAAAAATATGTCAGTCCTGATCCTAGCATTGTAGCTAGTTTATCCCAAGGTAAAACATCAGAAACAGCAAAATAAAAGGAAAATCAACCAAAAAGCTTCCCCACAACATTACACTCAGGTAAGTGAAGAAAAAGGGCAGGATTCAAGCGATGGCGATCAACGAAAAACCCCGAAAAGAGGCAAAAGAAAAAG